TAGATCATAGAAGCCCTACATTTTGAAAACAGGCCTTTTGGCCCAACGAGTCCACATCGATCCTCAGAGCATCCCACTTAGACCATCCCCAATTAAACCACCCAGTCTACATATCCTTGAACACTACGGGCAATTTTACATTGTCACTGGGGTGGTCCGGTAGTTCAGTGGCTGGAAGTGCTTCCTCACAGCGTCAGGGACATGGGTTTGATTCCACCCTCGGGCGACTGTCTGTGAGGAGTTTGTGTGTTCTCCCAGTGTCTGCATGGGCTTCCTCCCACAGTCCAAAGATGTGCAGTCTAGGTGGATTGGTAATACTAAATTACACATTTTGTCTAGGGATGTATGAATGGATTATAGGGGAATGAATCTGGCGGTCAATGTGCACTTGTTGGGCCAAAGGGCCTGTTTCCACGCTGTAGGGATTCAATGAAATCAAAATTATCCGATGATATGTTCTATAACGTGGGGAAACGGATATCAATGAGTTTTTCTTTGAAAAGGAGAATCCAACAAAGGAGGTAGACTTTTCCTTTGTTAATTATAACACACCTATTTCTGTACAGGTGCAAAAGAGAAGGTTGACGTAATTACATGCAGAAATTTCCAGCCCAAACCTTTAAACCAGCAGTAAACCATTAATAATTAGTCCATTTTGGTTGAAGTGGAATGGATAGATGCTGTTTTATTTTTCAACGATTTGACGATACTGAAGGTTTTGTCAATTGTTTCAAACTTCTGAACCTATCTAGACACGTCGCAACACAGTGATGAATGAGGCATCCTCAACTTATCAAGCCATTCGTTAACAATACATCTCAGCATTCGAGAACTACTGTGAAAACATTAAATGTATTGGGTATCAGGATTTTCGAAACCATCAAGCCTGGTTGCATTTATGAATATCATCGTAAAAAAATAATATTAAGACCAACATGGCCTGGCATTCTAAAACATTTAAAAAGAATAGTTACTTGAAAATTTAAAATGTTTCTGGAAAACGATAAAGTGCATGCACACAGTCACAGTGGTTTCAATGCTTAAAAAAAATCTTTCGTGAGTTTGAGGGAGTAAATGGAATATTGAATTTGAACAGATATACGTGGAGATACACCAAAAATCTGGAATGAGTTATCAAGTAACTTCTAAAAAAGGGGAGCCATATAGAGAAATAACGAACAAAGTATGTTTTGCGTGAATCAAACAGAAATGTTTGACTCAAAAACAAAGTTGCTGGAAAAGCTCAGCAGGTCTGGCAACATCTGTGGAGGAGAAAACAGAGTTAAAGTTTCGGGTCCGGTGACCTTCCTCAGAGCTGATGGTGGCTGGGAAAACATCAATCTATATGCAGAAAATAAGGAGGTGGGTGGGATAGGGAGTAAACGATAGGATAGAGCCCAAAGAGAGAGAAAGACACTTGGACAGACAAAGGAGTTGTTAACGATCAGGCTGGGAGGGTGAATAGTTGTTAATGGGGACTGTTAGTGACTAACAAGAGTGGGTGTGTAGTGGCAGGCGATGTGGTAACAAGGCCTGGTGTGTGGGTTGGGGTCTGGGACATGGGAGAGTTTAGGCCCTAAAATTATTGAACTCAATGTTGAGTCCGGAGGGCTGTAGGGTCCCCAAGTGGAAAATGGGGTGTTGTTCCTCCAGCTTGCGCTGGGCTTCACTGCAGCAAGCCGGATTCAGAGATGTTGGCGAGGGAGCAAGATGGTACATTGAAGTGGCAGGCAACAGGTAGTTTCGGGTCTTTTTTGCGAGCAAAACGTAGATGTTCTGCGAAGTGGTCGCCAAGTCTAAGCTTCGTTTCCCCAATGTGGAGGAGACCACATTGTGAGCAGTGAATGGAGTAGACTAGATTCTTGGAAGTGCAGGTGAAGTGTTGCTTCACCTGGAAGGTATGTTTGGGCACTTGGACACTTGGGAGGAAGGAGGTAAATGCGCAGGTGTTGCACCTTCGCCGGTTACAGGGGAAGGTGCCGTAGGGCTAGTGGGGAGGTGTTGGGGGTGAAGGAAGTATGCACCAGGGTGTCCCGGAGGGAACGGTCCCTGCGGAAGGCGGACAAGGGAGCGGAGGGGAATATGTGTCTGGTGGTGGCATCTTGCTGGAGGTGGCGGAAATGGCGTCTGAGAATCTTCTGGATGTGCATGCTGGTGGGATGGTAGGTGAGGATAAGGGGAACCCTGTCGCTGTTGCGGGAGGGAAGAGGAGGAGTGAGGGCAGAAGTGCGGGAGATGGGTCAGACCCGATTGAGCACCCTGTCGACAGCGGAGCTGGGTAATTCTCGGTTGAGGAAGAATGTGGACATTTCAGACGCTCCCTTGTCGAAGTTGGCCTCATCTGAACATATGCGACGGAGACGGAGGAACTGAGAGAATGGGATGGAGTCTTTACAGGAAGTGGGGTGTGAGGATGTATAGTCCAGGTAGCTGTGGGAGTCGGTGGGTTTGTAATGGATATTAGTGGCCAGTCTATCTCCAGAAATGGAAACAGAAATGTCGAGGAAGTGAAGGGAGGAGTCAGAGAAAGACAAGGTGAAAGTGAAGGCAGGGTGGAAATTGGAGTCGAAATTGATGAAGTTTTCCAATTCTCGACGAGAGAGGGAAGCAACACCGGTGATATCATCGATGTATCGGAGAAACAGTTGTGGGTGGGGGCCGGAATAGGACTGGACCAAGGAATGTTCCACGTACCCCACCAAGAGACCAAGGGGGGTTGCCATGGGTACCCGCATGGGCCCTAGTTATGCCTGTCTCTTCGTGGGAAGGGATTCATTCAGACATCCATCCTGTTAACACACCAACAAATTCACAAAGGAAAATAGTTTGGAAAAAATATTAGTTCTTACTTACACTGAGGAATGAACCAAGGTAATTGGACTATTTGTACTGACGTTATTAAACCCACTCTATTAAAGGTGCTGATATTGTGGAAAATTGTCAGTACAATTTTTTTTTTGTGTTGGTACATTTTGTAAATCATCCTAACTTGCTGTACATCATAATTTTCACGTTGGTTAGCGTCTGTCTATCTGCCCAATGTGTGGGTGGGGCTTTACTGGTTCATCAAGGCTGGATAAACACAAATGAGTTCCCAAGTCACTGTAGAGGTTGGATTTTGATGTTATTGAATCCCATCTGTGTGCGGAATAGGCTTTACTGATTCATTCTACTTGCTGGCACACGTGTCATTGACACCCATCTCCAAACCATATTTGCAGTAGTCTGCTTCTGATGATGTTTGTAAACTCCACAAGTCCAATTGACTATTTGGGATGAAAATAATATGATTTGGCTTTCTATTGTTACGATCGTGCACCAAGTCTTTAACATATCTCTGAGGCAGATGAGTTGAAGGGAGGCCACATCGGAACACTTGATTCAATTTTTTTTAAGGATGTTTCCAGGTGTATAGATGAGTGTAATGCTTTTAGTGCTGTCATCCTGGATTTAAGTAAGGATTTTGATAAGTTTCCATGTGTGAGACTGATAGCAAAGGTAAGAGCCCATGGGATCAATTGAAATTTGGCAAATTGGATCCACAATTAGCTGAATGGCAGGGATATGGTTGAGGGGTGATTCTCTCAGTGGAAATCTGTGTCCAATGGAGTGCCGAAGTAGTTACTGTTGGAGCCCTTGCTGTTTATAGTTTCTACAAATAATTTAGCCATGTAAGAACATTGATTAGATAACTTGCAGATAATACAAAAGGCTCCATGATAAATATTGAGGATGAAAGCTTACGATGACAGGACGATGTAGGCGATCAGTAGCAAATGGAATTCCATCTGAATAAATGTGAGCTTGGACAGGACAATTAGTCAGCATGATCAGCTGTTAACTGCAAGATTAACGGTTTATAGACCAGACAATGATGGAAATCTTGTCGGTTTTCTCATGCATCAGCATACTCCATGATCCAGTACTGAAATATCAATGGAGACATTGGCTGCAGGATAATTTCCCCAAATCATGCCTGCATTGTAATCCCATGAATTGCCAAACAAGCAGATTTTTAATGCATAGTGCTGCAAATTAGGAAGAAAAGAATTGGAATTTTGGGCTTAATTTCTAAGTGTTAGGGTTCAAAAATAGGGGGATTTTGACATAACTGTACAAGATGTTTATGA